AATACACAAGAGAGCATGATGTAAATAGGTATCTATTATACAAAACTGAGTTCACTGAAAAGCTACAACAGCTTCCTGGTCTAACTTTCTATGCTGTTTTCTGCACATATCTGTCTGCTTCCTGTATGTGGTGATCCTACAGAGGTTCTGCAGAAGTTCCTATGGGAAGAGGAGGTACATCAGCCATAACATTAAAACCACCTGCCTAATATTGTGTAGGTCCCCCTTGTGCCACCAAAACAGCTCTGACCCGTCGAGGCGTGGACTCCACAAAATCTCTGAAGGTCTGCTGTGGTATCTGGAACCAAGACATTAGCAGCAGATCCTTTAAGTCCTGTAAGTTGTGAGGTGGGGCCTCCATGGACCGGATTTGTTTGTCCAGCACATCCCACAGACGCATCGGATTGAGATCTGGGGAATTTGGAGGCCAAGTCAACATATTGAACTCTCTGTCATGTTCCTCAAACCCTTCCTGAGCAATTTTTGCAGTGTGGCAGAGCGCATTATCCTGCTGAAAGAGGTCATTGTGATTAGGGAATACAGTTAGCATGAAGGGGTGTACTTGGTCTGCAACAGTGTTTAGGTAGCATTTACATGTTAAAGTAATAGCCACATGAATGCAGGTTTCCCTGCAGAACATTGCCCAGAGCATCACACTGCCTCCACCAGTTTGTCTTCTTCCCATAGTGAGTCTGTGTCAGAACACAATGCAATCCTTATATTCTTACATGCCAATCGTCTACACTTTAGAGAACCAACATTATATTGGGGGAAGTACTATAGAAAATTGGCTTGAGGCTTCATTGGATAATAAATGGTTGTAGAGTCGTCTCTTTCGGCTCCCAAATGGTTTGTTGATGGATTATTAGGCAATGGGCCCCTGGGCATAAACACACATTAGGCCCCAAACACCTACCACTTCCCACTACATCATAGGCAGGGCATGGCGTTAGATGACACTGTTTTTTAAGTGATATAACAATTATATACAAATAGAGCAAAGATTTAAGGACATGTCACAAAGTAAGCAGCATGTCAAAGAAATGCAGAGGATTCGGCCAGCAAAGTACTAAACACTCACTTTGAAGGTGTAGTGATGCTTTCATTCCTGTGACATCTTCAAAAAGTTATTTCTTTAGGTTTCTTAAGGACCTTTGGCCCTTTGACTCGGGTTAGTTAATAAGAATGACTTTATGCAGAGGCTCTGGCTTTTGTGTCCTCTGACTCCTTGGGCCCCTGGGCCTGTGCCCAGTAGACACATTCAGTAATCCATCCTTACTAGTGGTTGTCTTTGTCTTTTTTTAACTATGATTTCCATCCATCCATTTTCCTTACTGCTTATCGTACATAGGGTCACAGGGAACTCGGGGCGAGGGGCAACCTGGACAGGCTGTCAACCCATTGCAGAGCACAATAGCACACATTATAAACAATTTGGAAATGCCAATCAGCCTAGAACACGTCTTTGGACTGGGGAAGGAAACCCTCAAAGCATGGGGTGAACATTCAAACCCCCAACTCCAGAGGTGTAAGGCACTAAACCACTGTACCAATCGACATTGCCACATAGCTGCTTTACAGAAATCCTAATGCAGATTTAGATCCATATTGAACAAGCAAGAGATGACTGAAGAAAAACTCTCTGAGACAACATGAAGAAATCTAACCTTCTAACGAATAAAATAACCATACATTGCAATAGACTGCATATACTGTCTGAAATCTATAAAAAAAAATTATAATAATTAAAAGTGCACCTTTGCACAGTAAGCATCCCTGCACTGTTATTGTACCTGCAGTGTTAAATCTAATCATCTCCTACTATATTAGGAGATGATTAAGTTCATCAGTACACTCACGTGTGTTTTATATTGGAGCATTTTGATTACACAGCAAGAGTAACAGTATTACCTATATCTACAAAAGAAAAGAAGAAGAAGAAGAAACTGACTCGTATATGAGAGTCGGCTATCGAAGTTCATCTGAAAGATCCGACTCGGTCGCTAGCGACTCATCACGATTAAGGTTCCCGCGTAGTTTAATTAACCTCACCTGCACCCACATCGCGCGCGCGCCACCTTCTCACTTCCTCACCCCTGGTCCTCCATTTGGTTCTAACAATTTATGCTTTTTCTTCCTGCCTCGACTCAAGACTTTTGCGGTGATAAAAACTTACAAAAAAAAGAAAGTGTTGATCTCTGGATATATTTTTTTTTTACCATTTATTTTTAACGCGCAGAAATGGAGCAGTGCGGAGTCAGGGTGATGTGTCGGTTCAGACCTCTGAACGAGTCAGAAGTTAAGAGAACGAACAAACACGTCATCCGATTTAAAGGCAATGATTCGGTGGTGTTCAGTGTAAGGCTTGTCTTGAGCTGGTTTCTGTTGGAGGATGTCACGTGACTGCAGTGATTTTTTTTCCCCTATCAGGAAACGTTATTATGGTTTATATTATTCACCAAATAGAAATAGAGCGAGTTTTAGTGCCAATCGTACTAAAACCCTTCAAAGTGCTGAAACATATTAAATCTCTCTGAGAGGAAACCTTCTCAATGGTACCTTAGTAAAGGTGAACGTATAATTTTCACCAGTTCAACTAAAAAGTTTGTGTTTGTGTTTCAGGGTAAGCCTTATGTGTTTGACCAGGTTTTGCCACCCAACACGACGCAGGAGCAGGTTTATGAATCCTGTGCTAAGGACACTGTCAGAGGTAAAACCTTGCAACGTTGATTGAAGACACACTCAGGTTGTGTGGTGTTTTATTTTGAAATTGATTCTGTGTGTGATATTTAGATGTTCTGGGTGGCTACAATGGCACCATATTTACCTACGGCCAAACGTCATCAGGGAAAACGCACACCATGGAGGTGAGCGTGTGTGTGTGTGTGTGTGTGTGTGTGTGTGTGTGTGTGTGTGTGTGTGTGTGTGAGCTTGACACCCACTTGTTTTACAGGGGAGGCTCCATGACCCTGAGATGATGGGGATAATTCCTCGTATCGCTCGGGATATTTTCGATCACATTTACTCCATGCAGGAGAACCTCGAGTTCCATATCAAGGTGAGTTGCATGACTTGTTTTGTGCTTTTGAATGGATTTTATACCTGGGTGTACCTATTCACTCCAACAGTTACAATTTTTTTGTTTGAATCTGCCTGTGAAATCTTTGAATTAACTACTTTTTTCGCCATTTTCTATTGGTTCTATGAATAAATTAGTCATTCAAAAACTCTTTTTGTCTCCATACACTGATAAACACCTCTACCTGGATATGTATACATTTTGTGGTGCACACACTCATCTCGTGATCTTCTGTCTCGACTCTTACAGGTTTCCTACTTTGAAATCTACCTGGAGAAAATCAGGGATTTGTTGGATGGTAAGGGTTTACAACCCAAATTCTGGAAAAAGTTGGGACAAAAAGGAAAATTCTAATAAAAACAAAGAGGAGTGATTTATGTAAATATCCTTTGACTTGTATTTAAACAAACAAAAAAAAGTATAAAGACAAGTTATTATATGATATACCTGAAAACCACCTTTTAGTTTTTTGAAGGTAAAATGTTTATTTTGAAATTAATGCATGCAACATGTTCAAAAAAAGTTGGGACTAAAAGCAATGTGACCAGTTGAAATAAGAAGGTGATGTGAAACAGGTGAGGCAATCGTCTAATCATAGTGTATATAAGGAGCCTCCAAAAAACGTCTAGTCCTTCAAGAGCAAGGATGGGTAAAAGCTTGCCAATCTTCCAACTGATGCGTCTGCGAATAATTCAACACAATATTTTCCAAAGACAAATCAGCAGGATTTTGAGCATTTCAGCTTCTACAGTGCACAATATAATTAAAAGATTCAAGGAATCTGGTCAAATCTCAGTGCGTAGAGACCGAAAACCACTTCTAAATGCACGCGATCTCTGATCCCTCAGACATCACTGTCTTAAAAACCGTCATGAATCTCTAATGGCGATCCTGACATGGGCTTGGGAATACTTTGGTAAATCTTTTGTCAGTTAACACCATTCACCACTGCATCCACAGATGCAAGTTAAGGCTTTACTACGAAAAGCAAAAGTCATTCATCAACACTGTCCAGAAGCGCCACCCACTTCTCTGGACTCGGTCTTATCTGAGATGGACAGTAGCACAGTGGAATCGTGTTTTGTATTATAAATTAAAATCACAAAGTAAAACATCAAATAATGGGTTTAATAATGTGCTTTCAATATAATACAGGGTGAACTGAATTTTCAAAAGACTTTTATTTATTTTTTATTTTTTTTTGCATTTTCCATACTGTCCCAGCTTTTTCCACAATCGGTTTTGTATATATTGTTATAGCCATGTTAAGTAGTTTATTATTTCTGAAAATCAGTCTTCATATATTTGGTGTCAGTCTTTGTCAGTTTTCAACAAATTTATATATTTTAATTATGTGGTGGAGTTCTGTAAATCTGCACTGTCCAGTATTTGCTGTCACTAACTTCTTAAAAAAAAAAAAAAAACACCTCTTCATGCTCTAACATTTCTGACAGTCATGTGACGTAAATTTATATTGGTCTGGAAAAATGTCTGATTTAACAATTTTTGTGTGTGTTTGTAGTGTCGAAGACCAACCTGCCGGTGCATGAGAATAAAAATCGTGTTCCATATGTGAAGGTAATATTACAGCTAGTGTTGAGTAGATTACTGAAAAGATAGATTACCGAAGTAGATTACTTGAGTAGATTACTGAAAAATTATAATCCAATACTGATTACAAATTCCATGACTAAATAGGTTATTATTAAAGCAAAGAATTGCAGCTGTAATCATAAAGAATATACTTTATACTGAACATCCTGCTCATCTTTAGTCTTCTACACCTGTATACTATATTGATTTATAATCTGGTATCACCCAGAAGAGGATGAGTTCCATTTTTCAAGGTTTGTTCCTCATGTCATCTAGATCTAAATCTACATTAGGATTTCTGCAAAGCAGCTTTGTGGCAATGTCAATTGGCATGGTGGCTTAGTGGTTAGCACGTTTGATTAGTACCTCTGGGGTTGTGGGTTCAAATCCCACCTCCACCTTGTGTGCTTAGAGTTTACATGGTCTTGCAGTGCTTTGGGAGTTTCCTCCCCCAGTCCAAGGCTGTAGGCTGATCGGCATTACCAAATTGTCCGTGTGTACACCTGAGATGGTTTGGCACCATGTCCAGGGGCCTTGTACTCGGAGTTCCCTGGAATAGGCTCCAGGCTCCCCTGTAACCCAGTGTAGGTAAGTGGTAGAGAAAATGGATAATGCAGAGGTTTAGGCTTAAAATGCTTTTTTATTTTTTATTTTTTTAAAGGGTGGGTAATCTATTTTAATTGTGTGTGTGTGGTAGGGTTGTACCGAGCGCTTTGTTTCTAGTCCGGAGGAAATGATGGAAGTGATCGATGATGGAAAAGCAAACCGACATGTAGCAGTAACCAGTGAGTGCCTTTTGACTTCCTCTCATCTGTAGACCTGCCTTATTAATTCCTTTTACATAAACCATTAACTAAATTCATGGTGTATAAGATTTATTTTAAACCACTTACATTAGTTCCTGGCCATCTGTGTTGTTGTGAGTCATTATGAATGTTGGTATTTTGTGTGTGTGTGTGTGTGTGTGTGTGTGTGTGTGTGTGTGTGTGTGTGTGAGATATGAATGAGCACAGCTCCCGTAGCCACAGCATCTTCCTCATCAATATCAAACAGGAGCATTTGGACACTGCGCATAAACTGACAGGAAAACTCTACCTGGTTGACCTGGCTGGCAGCGAGAAGGTATGAATCAGGTTCTAGTCGACATAAAGACATTGAAGGGACTTTGTTTATTCATATACCATTTGTTTTGCACAAACAGGAAGTAAAATATTTTTGTTGGTGTTTAAAATGCTGCTTGGCATTGCCATAGGATTGATTTAATTTGTCTTATTAACTTCAAGACAGAGAAAAAATGGATTGACTTATTTATAATTGCTGTAACTTAAGTGACACCAGGAACAAACGTGTTTAGCAATATTAAATGTATCTATGAACGGATAAAAGAACCACTTGTAAAATAATAAAAAAATTCTTTAACATTTTAAAGAGAAATAAAACACTTCAGGACATGCTATTATATGAAATGAATCAGCTTCAGTTTGGTAACTGTTACTCTACTTTAGCAAGCTGCATCACACGAACCTGTTGTTAATTATTTTTCTATAATAGTATCCTTCCCAAGTGTGTCACAATATGTGACTGCAGTTTTCAAGACATGACGTTATGCTCATATCACCGTGTGTGATATACATTATAGCCAGACTCACAGAGAAAGAAACATTCTTGAAGCTCGCTCAACCATTGTTGATGACATGTTTCTGAGAATTGTGTGTGGACATCACTGTTTGTGTTGTCATCCTGCAGGTCAGTAAGACAGGGGCCGCAGGTGCCGTGCTTGATGAGGCAAAAATGATCAACAAGTCTCTATCATCTCTTGGCAATGTGATCTCTGCACTGGCAGAGGGGACTGTAAGAGGTTTCTATTCTCTTTAGTTTGTGTGTCTAGCAGATATTGTATGATGTAATGTTGCCAGGTCTGTATGAAACTCCAAAGCCATGATTGCCATTGTCAAATTACAGGGGAAAAACAATATAAACTGTGTCAGTAATGTGTTGGTCCACAACCACAGTTTTAGTTATTATACCTCCATTTTCAAAATAAAGAATAGCCAAGAGCGAATCATCACTGATGCGTAGCAAGCATACAATTAATGTTTTTATTTCTCCCACTTTTCCTACGATTACAATAAATAATGGATGCACCGTTTCACCTGTCTCTGTCTCAAATGCTGCACACAAGTAATATATTATTAAAACCAACTTGTGGACACAGATTAAAAGTAGCACAGGAGGACAGCAGACCTGGAAACCCTGTCATCATGGACTGTCTGTGTTTTATATCAGAAAAGATATCGTGATCATGAAATGCATTAGGTCTTGTATGTGTGTTGTAGAAAACCCATGTGCCGTACCGTGACAGTAAGATGACGCGCATCCTTCAGGATTCTCTGGGAGGAAACTGCAGGACCACTATCATCATCTGCTGCTCTCCATCTGCCTTTAATGAGGCCGAGACGAGATCCACGCTCCTCTTTGGACAAAGGTGATGTGTAAATGCATAAAGGTGCAAAATAATACAGCTATGTGGAATCCATTAATACACACCAAATAAATAAATAAAATAACATTTTCTAAGGGGTGTGTGGGAAGTAGTAAATGTATTTCCAGATTTATTTTTCACCTTCTGATCTCCTCACTGCAATTACACTTTGCTTAAATGTGACTTGACTCCCTGTAACTGATTGAGACTGGGAGCTAATACCCATCATTATTTTGTGGTAGTGGAAAATATATATATCTATATATGTATAATGTATATGTATATATGTGTATGTATGTGTATATATATAATGTATATATGTATATGTATGTGTGTGCGTTTATCCCCCCCATCAGAGCAAAGAGCATCAGAAACACGGTGTGTGTGAATTTGGAACTGACAGCAGAGGAGTGGAAGAAGAAGTATTACAAAGAGAAACAGAAAGGTGTTAATATGAAGGAGCTCGTTGAGAAACTACAGACAGAGCTCAATCAGTGGAAGACTGGTGAGAGAAAGAAACGGACATAATTGATGGGGGAAAATCTAGAAAATTCCACATGAGTATCTTGAGAGTTTAATCAGGACTGTGTTAATTCCACTTGTTATATTGTCCTCCTTCTTTCACTGGTGCATTTACCTTTACATCTAACATATTCAAAATGGTTGTGCCGATTTTGAGGCACAAGCCTTTCCTTTTCCAATGGTGCCTAAATTTTAGGCTGGGCTTTAAATTTCAGATTATCCTATCCCACGGATTGACCGCTGGATAGTTTATAGAAATTGAGGATGGCACCTGAGTATGTATATGTGGTGTATCTCAGGTGTGTATGTACCTGTGATGGAAAAACAGGAAGAGCTTAGTGACCACGCACCAATCGTCAGTAATGTCTTTGCCTCTGAAACACCGGCCATGGAGAACGGTCAGTACGAGGAGAACATCGAAAACCTGTACAAACTACTGGATGATAAGGTGTGTGTGTGTGCGCACCTGGATGACTTTACAGCTACACAGCGGTGTTAAATACACACTTGATGCATTGGACCTACATCTACTGATCATTTGAGCTATTAGAGCGAGTAAGTGATGGATTGTGTGTCTCTGTAGGATGAAGAGATTAACCTACAGACGCAGCTGGTGGGGAACCTGAGGCTACAGATGGAAGTACAGGAAGAGGTCAGGGACAATCATCTACCTACAGTATACCGTGAACATCAGGGGTGTGAGCCTCTGGAGAGCTTAAACCCTACAGAGATTTATTTACACACAATTTAGTCCAATTCCTAACAGAGTTTTACAAATTTAAGCCTCTTTTTTTTTTTAACCATTTAAAAAAAAACTGTTTTGACTGGCAACCTTTTGACACCCAGTGTCTGTTTCATAACATTGTCTACGCTTGTCTGGGGCAAGACTTAAGTGTCTCATGACTAAAACAAATAGCAGAAATATTGTTACTGCTTTCTCTTTGTATCAAGTAAAGTTCTAAGAATTCCTGCCACAAGAAGGGCACTGTATATATATAAAAAAAAAAAAAATGTTTTTGTTATTGTTGTTTGTAGTAGTAGTAGTTGGAGTTAGTGATGAAGCAGGACCAGTGCAAAGCAGTATAGTGTTGTGGCTCTTGAGTATGAAGTTATTGTATATTTTGTACCACTCTGAGTGTACCACTCTATGTATCTACTATAACAAAATGAATGTAAAGCCAATGCTAGTTAAATTGTCTGTTTTGCTGTGTGTAGTTCTTGGCGTCGTCGCAGCGGGACTGCATTCATGTTCAGGAGGAGCTGTGTTCTCTGCGGAGAGACAACGAAGACATTAGGAGAGAGGTGAGGGAGGTGCTGTCTGCACTGGAGGAACTTGCTCTTAACTATGACCGGAAGAGTCAGGAGGCCTCCAACTCCACACATAGCAACCACTCACTCAGCTCACAGCTCTCTGTGAAGAACGTGAGTACACAGGCCACCCTATATACACACCATACACTTACTCACGGCTGAGGAGAATGGAAAACAGGGCTACATGGACACATTTACTCCAACTAACAGGACAAAGTGTGTGCGTGTGCCTGTTAGGAGATGCTAGAGACCACTCGGAGCGAGTTAGTTGAGCTGCAGGAACTCAACGCTAGTCAGAAGAGGAGGACAGTGGATGTTCTTCATGTGCTGCTGAGAGATCTGAGTGACATTGGAGCCATCATCTGTGTTCATGAAATCAAAATGGTAAACAAACACCTCCAGTTTAGACATGCACAGAACATCTGCTTGAGCTCTGATCATTTCCCTCTATCTCTCTCTCTCTTTTGCTGTCTGTGTTGTAGGTGTGTGAGGATGGTGTTTCTTTAGAGGACGAGTTCTCAGCGGTTCAACTTAAAGTTTCCTCTTTAAATTTAAAACTAAAAAAAAAAATTAAAAAAAAAAAAAAAAAAAAAAAAAAAAAAAAAAAAAAAAAAAAAAAAAAAAAAAAAAAAAAAAAAAAAAAAAAAAAAAAGCAAGTTTTTATGAATTAATTTTTGTGAGAGGTGACGGCCTTTTTTTCTCGTGGTTGGTTTTTTTTTTTAATTTTTTTTTTTTTTTGTTGAGTTGATGTATATGGGTAAAAAAAAAAAAAATAAAAAAAAAAAATTTTATAAAAAAAAGAAATTAAAAAAAAAAAAAATTTTTTTTTATTTTTTAAATTTAATAAAAAAAATAGTTACTCTTTTTTTTTTTTTTTTTTTTTTTTTTTAATATTATGGTGATTTTTTTTTTTATTTTTTTTTATGGGTGAAAAGATTAGAGAGGGGGTTTTAAAGGGTTGTGCATTTTTAATTTTAAATTTTTTTTTGGTTTTAGGGGGGGGCTTTTCTTTTTGTTTCTTTTAAAGTTTTTTTTAAGGGGGGGGGGGAGGGGGGGGTGGGTTTTTTTTTTTTTTGTTTTTTTTTT